AATGTACTCAATGTTACAAGTACAAGTAATGCTGCCAACTTTGTACTAAAGTGACATTACACAGTACACATAATAATACTAGTTATTAGCAAATTTTAACAATTTTAGAAGCATTTTGGATCACGCTTTTATACAAAACATGATCAATCAAACAGTGTAAATCTCCATGTAAACTCTGAACTCTGGCCAATCAGAACAGCTGTCAAGTGTCTTTGTACGTTTAGAAAAGAGCAGATGCAGTAATTTCTATGATTTAAAATATAACTAATTAGAATTACATAGCTAGGAGTGTGCTACATTACATTACAATTCATAGAACAGGGTTTTTAAAAGTCATTTGCAGACTATACGCAGTTGCATGCAAACAAAAAATTAATCAACGCTACACAGAAAAATCGCCGAATTTCTAAAGAAAAGCAAAGTGGAAGCATATGTCAACTGCTCACAACAGACGGGACACACAGCTAAACTGGAGTGCTCCTTAGTCTCTCTCATGCTAATTTTCATGAAAGCGTCTGAACACAGCTCTTAGCTTCAAACCGAAATGAGTTTAGAGCGGTTTTGTATGCGCTTTCTTTTAGGAATCCCTCTCGGAGTCTGGCATTTGTCTCTTGTTTTTTTCCTGTTTTTGAGTCCGTATTCCCTCCTCTGGCTCCTCTGAAAATGCCAGCCAACAGTCCGCTCAGTTCGTGGCTTCTGGGAGCGAGTTAGAATTTGTGTTTGTCAGTTTCCGAGCAGGCTATTTTAGTGTTGGACCACAAGGAAAACGGTTATGAATAATTTGAAGGTGTGTTTAAAAATGCATAAAGGTCTAGTGGTGAAATTTCTCATTGTAGTGGTAAAGTTGATGTACTGTTTAGGAAGCTGTTAAATGCAGTTGCTCTAAGTTAGACATGGAAAAGTACTACTTCTAAAAGGATACATATTATATAAAGGTTTACGACGGAAGATTTTTGCCTGACAGCTTAAAGGTCACTGGTTCGATTCTTGTCTGCGGACGAAGGGATTCTGGGATAACTACAAAAAAGATCTTGTTGTAGTCAGCTCTTTCAAGTCAGATTGTGTTAGAATAAACCTCAGATTAAAGTCTAACAAAGCCTCAGACAGAGCAATGTCTACAGTTAGCATCATAAAAAAGGTTTCTTCAAGGATACCTGTTCACAAAACCGTTCTAAAAGAGGAATAGTAAAATATGTAAGTTTTTTGGTGAAGGGGTTTGCCACCTGTGTGTTTCCATGGTGATATTTTGCCTTGAACGTTTCACAAGGCATTGTTATAGTCTGTTCAGGCCACACCGTCAAAAAACACCCTAGACGCCTCTATTTGGACGCCTTTGCATTGGAGTTCAGACGCCCCTGACGCGCATCTTGGACACCGTGGACGAACAGGAGAAAAATATTTGACGTGCGTCCGTTGCCCTGGAAACAAGTGCATTTTCCCGAAACGATGTCAGACCAGACTTTAGTGTATTTATTACATTAAACCATCAGCGGGGGAGATCGGCTTGTCGCCTGCGGTGTTTATATATGTATATTCCGACAATGACACTGGTCCAATCCTGGTCTAGTCCTGGTTTAGTCTTGGTCCGGTCCAGGTCCAGTCCTGATGTAGTCCTGGTCTAGTCTAGGTTCCAGTCCTGGTTCGGTCTTGGTCCGGTCCTGGTCTAGTTCTGGTCCAGTCCTGGTTTAGTCCTTGTCCGGTCCTGGTCTAGTCCTGGTTAAGTCCTGGTTAAGCCCTGGTCCGGTTCTGGTGTAGTCCTGGTGATCGGCACAGTGATTGCAGTGTCGCTACGTCACTGGATACTTATCCCTGATTGGCTGATGCGGTGCAACTTTTGACGCCAACGCCGTGGATGCACATCTAAAATGTCGATGCCAGAACGCTCAAAACGCGCCACGTCGACACCAGATTTATGCTGCGCTGACGCCCAAAGACGCACCACAAAACCACAGGACGCCGTAGATGCACATCCACATAGACGTTGCATGTAAACTGGACGCTTTGACGCTCTGGTCTGAATGGGCCTTTAAACTTATCTACCATTTATTTCATTACAAGTGTTTTTTATTGCTCAAAGATACCTTCATAAACATACTTTTGTAGAGTGAACGGGCTCACCTCTCCGCAGATCTGACCTGTATCTTGGCTTGGTGTTGTCATCTGCTTGTTTCCATGAAAATAAGTTTAATGGCATACTGCGGAACATTCTACGCAGATCAGGCTCTTAAAAGGGGCATTGTGTAACATTTCTGGTGGAGGGTCGGTCTATCTTCTTTTCTATCTTCATGGAGACCAAACCAGACCAAGTTATAGGTCAGATCTGTGGAGAGGCGACCCTGCTCAGTCAAAATGCCTGTTTCTCTGGATATTTTTGAGCAGTAAAACCACCTGCAGTTGAATAAATGTAAAGTAGACCTGTTTAAAGTCATACTGTGGAACATTCCAGGCAGAGCAATGACATATCCATAGAAACAAGCAAGTAACGGACCCCCAACCATAAAGTTACATAGTGCACCTTTAAATCAGTAGCCTTAACTTTAGTCTGACAAACTTTATAAAGTGAAACAGTAATAAATGCACAGATGTCAGACCTAACATCAGTTTTGTATTGTTATTAATATATGCAACCTTAAAAATCAAAAAGTAAAATACGCCACTTTAAATCTCCTCCTCCAATCTCATTTTTATTTTCCAAACTCCCTTTTATGTGAGCAGATTATGCACATCTTTCTTCTTTGTAAAGTCTCTTGCATCAGTGCCAAAGCTAAGTGACAGGAGCAGATCAGACTGAGCCCAGTTCTTTGTAAATATGAACCTTTGGTAAAAAAGAAAGAAAAAAAAAGTTCTGATCTTTCATTCTCTCACTGCTCTGAACCTGTGCCTCTCCTTTTGACTGAATCTGCTCTAATGCTTTTATTATTACACCTGTGTTCCCCCATTTATGGATTTTACCTGGAGGGAAGAGAACAGAAGATGCTCTATATTTTTTGGTAGTGAAGTCACCCAGTACTTTAACATTATCTTCCCCATATCTTTTCTTTGTGCCAAGGGTGTTCCTATATACACTATATTCTCTGGTATGAGTTTAAAGAAATAACCAGCATCCATAAAACAAAAAACTGAGTTGCTATAGTGACCTTGTTTAAATATACTCGGTGCATTGTGTGCCATTTCTGAAGAGTCCACTAAATGTTCCGCAGTATGTCACTCAACTTATACCTCTGGGGTTATAAGTACGTGATGCTACCAGGTAAGGTTTCAGGTCAGATCTATGGAGAGGCGAGCCATCTCACAGTATTTCAAATGTCACTGAAAAAGCAAGATTTAATGCTGTACTGTGGAACATTCCAGGCAAAGCAAAGACATTTTCATGGAGATAAGCAGAACAATTATATAGAAATCTAAGGAAAATATGTAAATGTAAATAATAATTATAATTTCCCTGGTGTTAACTGTTTAGTATCGTAAAAATATGACATACATTTGAAGTATTTCTTTTCTTTCTTTTAAGTTTAAAGGTTAGGGATGTAACAATAACCAAAATATCATGATATCGTATCACAATAATATCGTGGACCATCACAATATATCGAAATACAAGTCTCTTTGTTTAAATTAAGAGTTATGGCACAGCATAACTAAAAAAAAGAGAGGGAACTACATAGACCATGATCCTTTGCTCCATTTCAGTGCAGACTACAAGAAGAAATAACAGTTCTAAGCACTTTTAAGTCTTAATTCTTTGGATTAATTCTTGTCAAGGCATTTTAAGAGGAAAAAAATAGCATGTTAACAGTTTTAGCTGTTTAGTCTTCACAAAATATCGCAATAAATACCATACTGTGAGATGTATATCATGAAAATATTGTACTGAGAGATTTGGATTTTGTTACAACCCTAATCGTGAGCCTCCCCACCATATCGTAAGCTTTCCCATGATATCGTAATAAATATCGTACTGTGAGGTTCATACTGTGACGATATCGTATCATGAGACTTGGATATCGTTACAACCCTATTAAAGGTGCATTGTGTAACTTTTCTGGTGAAAGGTTTGTCAAATGTTTTTCCTCATGGAGATGTTATTGCTTTGTCTTGAATGTTTCACAGTATGGTATTAAACCTTTCCATCTTCATGGAAACCAAACCAGACCAAGTTACAGGTCAGATCTGTGGAGAGGCGACCCCACACAGTCAGAATGCCTGTTTTTCTAGATACTTTTGAGCTATAAAACCACCTGTAATTGAATAGATGTAAGGCAGAGCTGTTTAATGTCATACTGTGGAGCTTTCCAGGTAGAGCAATGACATCTCCATAGAAACAAGCAGGTGATGGACCCCCAACCAAAAGAGTTACACAGTGCATCTTTAACTAATGTACTTTTTCTTGAGCTACACCAGTCAAATTCAAACTCAATCGGGAATATAATAAAACATTTGAAATAACTGTTGACTATTTTCTTTCACTGCTTTAAACACAAAGTCCTTTTGGCAGCTCTGGGTCTGTTCTGGGGCTCTGAATCCTTTTGCATTGCTAATATTGCTTGTGTTTATTTTCTGTAGTACACACAGCTTTACATTTAAGGTGGCTTGAGACAAAAACATTTGGAAACCAAGCTTTACTCTTGCAAGACATATAAAAAGTTCAACAAATGTTTAACTGCTCCACAAACTTGCCATATTAACCTTAAGTCCAATAATCATGTATTTTTCTGGAATAATGGAATCACTTTATGAAGCTATTGTGAAAAAAGTGTTTAAATTTTGCGTGCCCCTACTGACAGAAAAGATCTTGAATCATGTATTAACTTAACCATAAAACAGGTCAACAAATCTGCAATCTGACCATTACACAGCATGATTCACACAAGATCTTTCTGCTATCTTGTACAGTTAGCCTATATTGTAGTTCAGCACGCACCATTCTGATTGAAATAATAACGTTAATATTATCATTTTGGATTCAAATAACATGACATATATTTGCTTTGTGTCTCTAGGTGTCCGATCGCTGCGTGGTGGCTCTGGTTCCCAAACAGACGTCCTCTTACAACATCCCCTCTTCTGCCAGTATGTCCCGCTCCTCCATCAGCAGATACGGTGAGTACTGACCCATTCTAAAGCGCTAAAATGTTCCTTACAAGCACATCTGTTTACACTAACACCATAGAATACACCATAGAACCGCATGTATTGCCACAAAGACAGCATGCGGAATGGTTTATAGCTTGGTTTAGCTGTAAATGTTGTGCTAGATTGAATTTGTACCTCAAAAACATATTCGTTTTAGTGTTTTTTAGTGTTTTTTTCTTTCTTTATGCGTAAATTATGATGTCTTTTACCTATAGCGTTTTTATCATTTTAGAGCTTTGCCTTTACTAAGGTTTGGACATGGTTTGATCCCCATTTAGTCTGATGTATAGCCCTGGTTTGGTCCTGTTTAAGTCCTGGTCTAGTCCTGGTCTAGTCCTGGTCTAGTCCTGGTCTAGTCCTGGTGTAATCCTGATTTAGTCCTGGTTTAGTCCTGGTCTAGTCCTAGGCTAGTCCTGGTATAATTCTGGTTTAGTCCTGGGCTCGTTCTGGGCTCGTAATGGGCTAATCCTGGTGCAATCCTGGTCTAGTCCTGGTCTAGTCCTGGTCTAGTCCTGGTCTAGTCCTGGTCTAGCCCTGGTCTAGTCCTGGTCTAGTCCTGGTCTAGTCCTGGGTTAGTCCTGGTCTTGTCCTGGACTAGTCCTGGTCTTGTTCTGGTTTAGTTCTGGCCTAGTCCTGAACTAGTCCTGGTGCAGTCCTGGTTTAGCCCTGGTCTGGTTCAGGGTTAGTTACTTTTTTAGTCCCTATTTGATTGTGTCGTGTGGGTATCACATTGTGAAGACTCAAATCTGAACTCTCTCAATTGATGAGGACCAGCCTCCTTTATGAGAATAAAAGTCTGGCTTCCATTATAATTGATTTATTATTAGATCAGCAACATGGTTTAAAGTGAATATACGGTCTAAAATATCTTAAGGATAGATTAGAATCAGTCTTCAGGAAATGAATGTCTCCAAAAGCATGTGGGTTTGTGTGGACCCTAAAAACACTAGACCCTGAAAACAGTTAGTGTTAACATGTCTCAAGAACAGATGCATAAAACTTGAATTATATGTAAAGTCTTAATGCATTAAGGTGCTTTGTGTAGCTTTTCTGTTGGAGGGTTTGCTTGTCTCCATGGACATTCTTTTACTTTTCCTGGGCTGTTTCAAATATGTCAGTAATCTATCTACCTCCAAGCAGGTGACTCCACCAGACTAAGTCAGAGATCAGATGTGTGGAGAGGCAAATGTTTGGAGGCATTTTGAGTAATGAAAACACCTGTAATTAAATCAGTGCAAAATAAATGTTTAATACTAGCATCCAGGCAAAGCATCCACATCTTTACGTAGACAAGCAAATTTACTTTGTACACCTAACAGCGAAATCTGTCTATTTACAGCTGCAGTTCACAACAGCTCTAGTGTGACCGTTAATAGCTGTATTATTCTAAGTGAGGTGCCATTTAAACAGTCAGATCTCTCCCAATTTAAACCCTTCTCCTGCATTTTTAACATCTCGTCACACTCCTCTCACTTGCGGTGTAGCTGCCAAATTTAACTCTGGTGCTAGACTCTCCCTCGCTCTCCTTTTCAGCTCTCTGCGCGTGTCTTGTGATCGCTAATTATTCCGCGTGAATGATACGTAACATAAACACAGAAAGATGACTGAGCGCAGACTATTATAGCTGGTTTTAAAAGGCCCATATTACACTGTTTTCTGATCTGTGTTATAATGTTGTTTCCTCACCACATACATACCTGTGTTTTGTTTCATTTGCACATTTTTAACACACAAACCCTGCAGAATTAGGATGACAAATAATAAGGGATTGCTCATGAAACAAAACACAACTCCAGGTATATTTTTGAGGAGGTAACAACTAGGGATGGGCATGATTAGTCAGTTAATCGATAATTGATCATTAAGAATTTCATCGATTACGTTCATTTTAATCGACAAACCGAATGTAGGTTGCTGTGCGTAGCGTGGGGTGTCCGTACATGTAGCTGTCTGCACTCAGAAGGAGCAAGCAAACACAAACAAGTCGGTCAGCCTGCAATGAGCCGAAGCGCAAATGCGTATTTAACGATGACTTGTACAAGAAATTCCACGCTCCGTTCCGGTCGGGACAAGTGTGAGGCCATGTGCACAGTCTACAAAGAAGCACATATGTTTCAGTGTTCAATGGGAAAAAGTTCACCAGGACACAGAAAACATGAAAAAGTTTTGCCAGGTGAGAGCAGCGCAATGTCGATGACGTGTCCCCACCTCCCACTCCCCGTACGGTGTCCTGGTTTTGACAAACGCAAATATGGTCACACTAACCTGTATTCCACTGAGTCGTGTCCTTTAATCCGACGGAAGTTGACCGCATCAGCGCACAAGAGCTGTTTTTTTTTCGCTTAGTTTATGCAAATTAGCCATGCGGTTTTAAGTTTCTAGACTTGCGCAAAGCTGCATTAAACACAATCTCAAACGGGCTGATGTAGCTTTAGAGTGGTTACGGTTTATATGTCGTAAAGTTGAATTTATTTATGCAGATTAGTAGTGCAGATGGTAATAATAATGATAATTTTAATATAAAAACGTTAATGATTTAATCGATAGTCGATTGTTAATTCTCCTGACGATCAATTAAGAAAATATTATCGAATGCCCATCCCTAGTAAAAACACTTCTAACATAACCTAAACCTCACAAGAGTCAAGTTTATGTAATACAGGACCTTTAAGAAACAATAGTGGCTTAATACCAAAACCAAAACAGCAATGCTTTTCCCCACAAGGCAATTAGATGTCTTATTTACAGACATTAAAACAGAGCAGTGCTGCCCAGAAATGTGAAATAATGAAGGGTTTATCTCAGTTTATCCGAAATGACCTTTAGGAAATCGGACATTCCGCCATCTTTGCAAATGAAGTGGCTAAAAGATCGCAGAATGAGTTTGGGGGAGAATAATTGGAGCTGAAAATAAAAATGTAAATGGTGCTAGAGTCGTGTCTGGTATAGAAAAAGCTAAATGAATAATGTACACATACTATATTAGTGGTGTTAGTAGTAGTATTTTGAAAGCAGTCTTTCTATAGCATTTTATATAATTTACTGAGAATTTAAGAATGCACATTAGAATGTTTTATACTAGTACTATCCAATGAGTGGTGTAGCCTTTTTTGTATAAATCAAAAACCATCTTACTGAATGAAAATATGTCTTTTTTTTCATATTTTACTCTGTTTGGAGCCTAAAACTAACTCCCAGACTGTGCAAACAACATTCTACAGGCAAGGCAGAAAGGCACACACTGGAAGATTCTATTTGGTTGACCCTTGACTCCAGGCTGATCTAATATAGTAGGAAATGCACAGGAACAAGATGTATCTATTACATTATATATATGGAGCTTCGTATAGAATGGGAGATGCACATTCCAACATATGGCCTATCAATAATAGCTAGGGATGGGTATCACCACTTCTTGTGCAAAGTGAATAAGAAACACAAACTTTTTAATCATCAAAACAGTAAATATATTATATGTGTCACATAAACGAGTTTTGTTCCACTAAATAAGCAACAAAACTGTAGCTCTGTAACAAAATAATTCAGTAAAATATAGCAAAAAAATACTCTTGGCGATATATCGATACAGCAGCCCATGATATCGATACTGTGTCATCACATTAAACGATACGATATTTCGATATTTTTGCACACCTCTAATAATAGCCAGTTAGTCATAATGTTTTGCTTCATTTGTGTATCGTTGTGTAGGATCTGCAATACACAGATCTCCAATATTTTACAAAGATATGAGTCTGGGTGTGATTGACAGGTGGATTAGCCAATCAGGGGTAGGCATGGTCTCTGTATCAAAACAAATATGGCTGTACATGAGGAAAAACGAAAGGAAAAAATATAATAAGGGACTGGAAAACACCACGGATTCCTGTTGAATCAATGAACGAAGCACTAAACTCTGTTAATCTGAGTAGACAGAAATATCATTTTATTGAAAACGATGGGTTGTAACAATAACAATATCATGATATTGTATCGTCAGAACTCTCACAATAATATCGTGGTCCATCACAATATATATCGAATTGCAAGTATTTTCACTCAAAAGTATTAAAAAAGAGGGAACTGCATAGGCCATGATCTTTTACTTACTTTACTACGTAATAAAATAACTGTTATTGAAGACTGGTCAAGGTAAAAGTAAAAAATAGCATATGCACAATTCTGTTAACCCCCCCAAAATATCAGAATAATTATCGTACTGTGAGAGGCGTGTCGTGATAATATCGTACCGTGACATTTGGTTATCATTACATCCCCAGTGACTTATGAGCTCCTTTGTTTTACATGTGGGACTGAAAAAAATGATCTGATTGGACGATCATTTTTGGTTCTAGCTTGAGGTGCAAAGGTGCCCAAACTGATATAAAATACGGATAGATTTCATTCTGGATTTGCAAGACTAGTGTATCACTGGCCCGTCTAAAAGTCATATTTTACAAAGATGTGAGTCTGGTCACTGGTGAATCTCCCTGAGTTCAGAAGGACTTGATTGACAGGTGGATTAGCCAATCAGGGAGACACAAGGTCCGGCTGTATCAAAACAAATATGGGGCTGCTTATGAGGAAAAAAGAAAGGAAAAATTGTGCGTATTTCTGTTTAATCAATAAGCAAAACACAAAACTCTGAGGTGGTAAAATCAGAAGTGAGAAAAATGTCATTCAATTCAAAATGATGGGTGGGATTGAAAATGTGGGACTGAAAAAACAAAAATCTGACTGGATGAACATGTACAACCCCTCGACTAATCAGTTTTTACAGCCAAAAAAACCACAAACCCCCCAGTCACCTCATTGACATTGGCCGCTCATTTTAGTATCTTCCTCCAAACTTGAGTCCAACTTCTATCATCTCCACCTTCGTTTGAAACTCCTCACACCTCCGTATTGTTTAGCCCGTCCTTTGAAGCCGACGGAGATGGATCTTTATTGCAATCCTCAGATCCTTAATCTCCAGAGAAGCGTTGTGCCAAGACTAGAAGATTCCGACTAATTAGAGGAAGTCCGATCAGCGTGAGTCCGAGTGCGCTCCAGTGTGTGAACGGAGAGGAGGACGGGTAGAGGAGGATGTATGCATGAGAGGGCCCATTCCAGCTCTTGGTGAATGAGTCCTTTTGATGCATTGATTACAGGGTGACAGACTCGTGTACAGCAGGATTTTGGCACAATGAAGCAGGACGAGACCAATTATGAGTCTTTTAAGAAGAGCCAGGCACGAGCAGCACAGTTACACAGAAACATGGAGGGGGCTGTGTGGATGTTTGGAAAGAGACAAGACGCGCTTTTACAGGCTATGGCTGTAGATAAGAGTGCTCAGCTTAGTTTAATTTGATGTTTGACCCTCCAATTAACCATAATGATATATGTCTACATTTTTAACCTGCTTTCATGGTAATTGGACACATTTTTATATAGCGCTTTTCCACTTGCAAGGCTTTCACAGCTCTTTATATCAAGGAACCACTCGCCCATTCATACAACAGTGTGCACGGACACTAGGGGCAAGGTGGATATTCAGTAGTATTCGTCTGTGGAAGCTGGAATCGCACCGCTAACCTGTGGGTCAGTGGATCGATTGATTGATTTGATTGATTTAGATTTATTGTTTTGTACAAAATACAACAAAACTTCGATAGAGCAAATCTGAAGCAGTAAAAATTAGGGATGTAACGATATCCAAATCTCTCGATACGATATTATCACAATATGCATCTCACGGTACGATATTTATTGCGATATTTTGAAGAGGCTAATATAATTGTAGATGGGACACTTTTTTGCTTTTAAAATACCGTGACAAGATTTTGGTATGAATTATTCAAGTAAAAAACATATCTCTTCATGTTGTCTGCACTGAAATGAATCATGGGATATGTAGTTCTCTATATTTATAAGCTGTTGCTACTATAAAACCATGCATTTAAGCAAAGGAAGTCGTGATTTGATATATTGTGCATATTGCACAATCCCTAAACCTATGTGCAGTTTTGATTGCACACACCAATACAAAATATAGACACATTCTCACATCCTTACCAATAAAAACATAAAATAAATAATGTGTACTGAGTCCCTTCAGGCCTTTTATCTGTGCCTGTGCTCCTGTGGCATTTCCGCTGCTCTTGGATAGAAGCTGTTGCGCAGCCTGATCTGGGTCTGATTCAAACCGCCGGATCAGACCAGTCAGATCAGTGGACAAACGCTCTACCAGCTGAGATACCGTCACCTAGCTCACTGATTGGGATACTCAAAACCACACACTGAAACTGATGAAATGTCCCACAATCTTGCAATATCTACAAACCATCCACACCATCAAGGTTTTTTTTTTCTTTTAGCAATGACAGCCTTTCAATAGATACAGTGACTTATGTGAACTTCTGTATGCATGTGGTCTTTTATGCTGCTTAATGCCATACTTAGGAACATTACAGACAAAGCCTCAGCATTTCCAAGAAGCTATTGTTATGTTACTATTGCTATTTCACACCTGACTGGTCGACAAGTGCATGAGAGAGGCACTTGATGGAAAAAGTCTTAATTTACTTCTATTTGAACAACGTTTTGGTCCGTCTGACCTTTGTGTGAGTTTTCTTAAAAAGTTTTCATCTATAATTTAGGGAGGCTGAAAGCCAGGTAATGCTGTGTTTGCTTTGCTGATTTATATTTGCTGTTTTATAGTTGTCGTAAACACATTATTTAGCATACGTACACTGCAAAAATGTGTTTTTAGTGATAAAACTGCAAAGTCTACCCATAACACGCAAAACTCTTCCTTCCCATAAAACTCTCTTTCGACTGAGTATATAGGGAGCGTGAACCACTTTTGGACAGAATTTTAAACAGTCTTCTTCACTTTGGTGCCGAGCCAGATACCACAACATCCTGTAGCTCTCATAACTGAGTGATGAAATTAACCCCACGTTTGTAATTTCCTGCTCTGTGCCTTCGAGGATTAATTTTCAAAATGAGCCACAGTGAACGGAGCAAAACTGAGTTTGTGCGGTGTAGTGCTGGAATCTGCATGTCGGATTGAAACACCTCCTTACCCACAGGCGCTGTTCCGAAACGTTTGCTTGTTGTGCTAATTGAGGATGTTTCTGTTTAAATGAAGGTCTTGTATCATTCTTAATTGACTTTTTTGTCTTTAATCATAATCAGGAAATTGATGATATTGCAGTTGTTTTGGGTGTGTTAAATTAAAGATATTGCACCTGGGTTGGACTGTCTTAAAAACATGAAAATTAGTTTGTGGTAGACCAAAATTATTCCTCACTTAGCTTAAAGGTGCTCTGTGTAACTTTTCTGGAGAGGGTCCGCAGCCTTTTTGTCTCCATGGAGATGTTAATACTGTGGTTTAAATAGTCCACAGGATGCCATTTAACTAATCTGCTTTGCATTTATTCAACTACAAACTATTTATTGCTCAAAATTATCTTAAAAAACATTCAATTTTTACTTTGAGCTCTCCACAAATCTAACCTGTAATTTGGCTTTCAAGTCTCCATGGAGATTCTTAAATGTATGGCCATACTGTGGAACATTTTAGGCACATCTCCATGGAGACAAGCAGGTGACGGACGCCCCACCAGGCAAGTTACACAGTGCACATTTAAGTATTCAGAACATCCTAATTATTCACCAAGATGAGTTTATAAGCTTTTTTCACAACTTTCAGAGACCAGAGTGGAGTCTTGCTATCAGAGTGAAGCAACTACAGCTAGTATGCTATCGTGCACTTCCTGCCTTAGATGCAGATGCAAATTCGTTAATTTGTTTTTTAATATAAAACCAAAAATAAGAAAATGAAAAAAACAACTGTTTTCTTCATTATTTGTCTGCAAAACCAAAAATTTAAAAAACTAATAACAATTTATTTTTTCAGTTTTTGATTTTGTGTTTAAATGAATAATGGAAAAAACGGATAGTTCCAGTTTCCATGACTTAAACTGCGATGTGGGACTGTTGCGCCGCATATGGACTAAACCAGGACTAAAACAGGATTAAACCAGGACTAAACCAGTACCAAACCGTTTTCAGTCCCGTCTGGTCCCGGTCTCAGTCCCGGTCTCAGTCCTGGTTCTGGTCTGGTCCCGGACCTGGTTCAGTCCTGGTTCAGTCTGTATGCAGCGCAAAAGTCCAGCATCGCGGTTTAAGTCATGGAAACGGGAAACGGCCGTTATACGTTTTTCCATTATTCACGTCAACAAAATCAAAACAAAACAAAAACTGAAAAAACAAATCATTATCTGTTTTTTTTTTTTGTTTTTTCATTTTGGTTTTGGAGACAAATAATGAAGAAAATTGTTGTTTTTTTCGTTTTCTTATTTTTGATTTTATATTGAAAAACTAATAAACAAATGATACACAGATTCAGGCAGTGCACAGTGGACTTACTTTGACCTCAAGAGATACTTATATCTGCACTGATGCTCATTTTGCTCAAATACATACAGAAAAAGGTATGTATAGGGCTTATATTCAATAAATTGTCCATAATAAACATATTTTAAAAGGTTGCAAGTCGTTTTTTTTTTTGTTTTTTTTAAGAGATGAAAGTTGTCATCGCAAAACTGAAAGATCTCTGCTTATTCAGATTTTCTGTTTTATTTTCCAACATGAATTATACACCATGTCATGAAATTCCAATGTGTTAATCAAGAAGTATTACGACAATTATTCAAAAACCATAAACCAGATGAAAGTATAACACTGTATCTGTCCTGTAACTGTTTTCCAGACTCCTCTTTCCGGTACACGGGCAGTCCAGACAGTATGAGGTCCCGAGCTCCTATGATCACCCCAGACCTGGAGAGCGGAGTGAAGGTCTGGCATCTGGTGAAGAACCACGAGCACGGAGACCAGAAGGAGGGAGACCGCGGCAGCAAGATGGTGTCTGAGATCTACCTCACCAGACTGCTCGCTACCAAGGTGAGACACACAGAAAAGATACAAGAAATACTCTGGGTTTAATGGACTGCTCATGGGTTATTCATATTTTTTTATTACTTTTTTAGTGGAATAGTACCTTTAATACCTTTTGTCATAGTTTTACATCATTTAAGTGCAAGTTTATGGAGAAAATTGAGAAAAAACTGTTGAAAATTAAAGGTATATGTTGGTAAAAAGTCATCAATACAAAAAAATCCACTAAAATTCAACTCACAACTTACTCAATTCTCAATTTTCTGGCAATTTAAACATTTATTTAACAAATGAAAGATATCTTAATTTTTATTTTGTAAAATCATAAGACAAGGTTGTTTGAAAAGACATTAGCCACAATATTATAATATTATTGTTGCCCTATAATTTCTGACAAATGACCTGGTTTAATATTTGCGGGGTTTCTGTCGGTATTTCATTCAAAACTTTGCCCCCCACCAATAAATTATACATTCTCCTCTCTTGCATATTCTCTTCTCTTAAATGACCACATTGACTTAAATAATCTTGTGTTTTTTTCTTCAGGGAACTCTGCAGAAGTTTGTGGACGATCTGTTCGAGACATTGTTCAGTACAGTGCACAGAGGCAGCACTCTCCCTCTGGCCATCAAATACATGTTTGACTTCCTGGACGAGCAGGCGGACAGACACGGCATCCATGACACTGATGTGAGACACACGTGGAAGAGCAACTGGTGAGCACTGCTTTATTTATGTCTTTCCCCATTCTCAACCCCATTTTTCTACTGTACTATACAATCAACTTAGGCAGGCACCACCTAGTGCCTCCGCTCAATTTCATTTCTCTCCAGCAACTAGGTCAAGAATCAGAATACACTACACAGTTTGCAAAAACCCCGGAAGTGCAAGTTCAGGCACCAGCCAATCAGCGAAGAGCCATATATTCTGTGTTGGCAACGAGTCCCAAGATTGAAGATTTAAAACCAAAATAAAGAGAATGTTTGGTGAATTCCATCATGAGAATAGACTTTATTGCCCTTCTTCCTATGGGATTTGGGAAAAGCTTAATATACCAGTTAGCCCACATGACTACCAAATAGCGATTAGTTAAATGATCAAAAGTACCCGCCTACCGTCGAGCGAATGAGTTCTAACACTGCGACGTCAGACACTTTCTACAAAGTGAAACTAAGTGAAACCGGCTGATGAATCAGGCTACCATTAACTAGCCTATAGCTCAAAATATTGCAATATAGATGACAGATGAGGGTCTTTAGTCTCTTCTGGTTCACTGAAGTAATAACTACTGTGTAAACTGTGCCATGTTAGTAATGGTACTTATGTGAGTATCTATTGCATTGTGGTGTTTATAGTACAGTTCAGCATATTTTTATACCTCCTGTCATCACAATAATTAATTAATCCCTCAAAAATGGGGCTAAATATTTCCATGGGTTTTAAAGCAAAATATTAGGATTGTTGCCATTCCAATAAACAATTTAAAACAAAAAGTTGCTTATAAAGAGAAATTGTAAAAGGCTAGTTAGTGAACGTAGTTAAAATGGTTCAAAGCTATTAAAGGTCCTATGTTACGCAAAATTGACTCTTGTGAGTTTTTAGCCATGTTAGAATGTTGTTACCTTCTCATAATCATCCCTGGAGTTGTGTTTTGTTTCATTCACATGTTTGAGTCCTTGAAGCCTTTATTATTAGTCTGTTTACCTCCCCAAAGCTCAAAATGCTCTGTTCCTGTTGTGATGTCATCAAGTGGTAGTTTTCAAGTTAATCGCTACCTTTTCTCTTTTGTTCAGTAGAGATGCCAGAGATGAATCCAAATCCAAATCATTCTAGTGAAGGTGTATGGAGTTTAAAAATACTGTGGAGCACTTCCTAGATTAAGATGACATCACAAGGTGGAAGAGAGTGTTTTCCGTGCGTGTGAATGAAACAAAACACAACTCCGAGTATGTTTTTGATGAGGAAACAATATTATAACAGAGAAAAGGGCGACAATTTAGGCCCTTTAACAATTGAAAACAGAAAAAATTGAAAGTTAAATAGTTTTAAATAAAGATACCATCATTATCATCGCATTACATATCTATATCTGTACTGACTTTCCTGACTTTTTTTTTTTCGCAGTCTTCCGTTGCGTTTCTGGGTGAACGTGATCAAGAACCCTCAGTTCGTGTTTGACATCCACAAGAGCAGTATCACAGACGCCTGCCTCTCCGTGGTGGCTCAGACCTTCATGGACTCGTGCTCCACCTCAGAGCACCGCCTGGGCAAAGACTCTCCCTCCAACAAGCTGCTCTACGCTAAAGACATCCCCCACTACAAGAGCTGGGTGGAGAGGTACACTTACACTCTTTCACTACATCTCCACACTATGTAGAATGACATGATTTAGTGTTTAATCCTCCTGTCTCTGTGGTAGTAGTGCTCCCTCTGGTGATGTTAAATCCTATGTGCTGGATTCATAGTGGCAAAAAGAAGGATTATCTAATGACGTTAAAATGACATATTCTTTATTATTTAAGTAATTTGGGTAAGTTTTGATTTATTTAAGGTCTAGGGTGTTTCTCAAGCTGTACATTTTGTCCTTTCTTAGACCTGGTTTTCCCCTTGTTTAAACCTAGAATAGTCCAAGTATAGTCCTATTTAGATCTTGTGGTATTCGAAAGGCGAAATATTTTCTGGTTGTACTTGGTGAGAAATGGAAAAAGAACCAGTGGTGTTGGCTATCTGACTTATTTACTGGTTGAAGTAGCAACTGTTGGCACTTCAATGCAGTGTTTCCTTGGGCTAGACACTTCATCCATCTTGTCTCTGCATGTGTTTTCTTTTTTTTCCTTATTATATTTCACTGGCAAAAAAAAAATAAATGCTTGAAAACAAAATGCAATGAAACAGCTTTGGAATGCCTTGAAATCAAATCAAATAAAGCTTTAGAAGTACATTTTTATACAAGTCAGAACCATGAAAAATGAACTTTACAGCTGTGAATTAAAGCTTTTCTCATGTAGAGATTTCTATTTTGCCTAGAAGTTCTTTTTGTTCCATTGAGTATGCTGTAACGTCCCGTCTCCCTCCGCAGGTACTACGCCGACATAAACCGTCTGCCTGCCATCAGTGACCAGGACATGAACGCCTATTTGGCAGAACAGGCCCGGCTCCACTCCTGTGACTTCAACATGCTCAGCGCTCTGAACGAGATCTACTCCTACGTCAGCAAATACAGTGAAGAGGTGAGGAGAGGACTAATAACACAGGAGTACGGGGCAATTCAGGAGGCAGGGACTGTGGGAATATTGGGAAATGTAGTGCACTTTTTTTGGCTATGGCTGGCTCCAAAAATGCAAAATGATTTAAATATGGTGAATATTTAGTTGCACATCCATTTATTTAAAAGTGGTGTATCTTCGAGGTGCCTTGTGGCTTTTATAGTTGGGAGGCCGGTATCTGCTGGTGTGTAATGTTTCTCAAAGTGGAATTCATCATAACGGGAATGCAATTCATCTATCTTGCATTTATTCACTAGCCAGGCTGACGCCACCCAGTGCCTCTGCTCAATTTCATTTCTCTTCAGTGATTAGGTCAGGAATCGAAATACACTAGATAGTTTGCAAGTACCCCGGAAGCCAATCAACGAAGAGCTGTGAAGCCATGACTGGGTCCATTTTTGTGGTACAGCACAACAGTAAACAAAGTGGTCGAGATGGATGTAGATGAAAACAGACCTTCTGTGTTGACAGCGATTTCCGAGATCAAGGATTTAAAGCCGGAACAAAGAGAATGTTTGGTGAATTTTATCAAGGGAAAAGGCGTTATTACTCTTCTTCCTACGGGATTTGGGAAAAGCTTAATATACCAGTTAGCCCCGTTAGCAGCGCATTACATACGTCACGACCAAATAGCAGCGATTGGTTAAATAAAAAAAGCACTCTCCTACCGTCGAGTGAACGAATCCTAATGCAGGGAGGTCAGACGGTTTCTACGAATTTAAACCAGCTGATGAATCAGGCTATGTATTCACTACCAGTGTTTCTAATGCTAAGCTTATATTTACTTTAAATTTTTTACCAACAAAAAGCCTACACTTGGTCTTACTTGAAAATTGTCGTTACCAGGCAAAAAAAAAAAAAAAAGTAGGCTCACCTCTTCGCATATTTGACCTGTAACTTGGTCTAGTCTCCATGGAAACATAATATTTAGCACCTGCCATACTACTCCATGCAAAGCAGTTACAGTACATCACCATGGAACCAAGTAGGTGTTGGACTGTCAATCAGAAAAAGTCCATTGTGCACCTTTAAGTTGACGCAAAAGTATTGACTGACAAATAAGACGTACTAAAATACTACTCATATTACCGGTACTTACTGCAAGAACAGCACTTTCCCCACTACTTAAAACTTACTTAGCGAAACTTTGACTGCAACATCTTTGTACATTTGATCATCTTTCAAAACAAGGCCCATGAATTTCCAAGCAACGCCATCCATACTTTGTTCTATAATGTGTTGTTGATCTGATTACACTTGATTTCACATTTGCCCGGTGCACTGTGCATTCACATGAACATCCATCTTAAACCTGCTCTGAACCGCCACCTGCTGCCTGTTGTTTCCTCCTTTTTCTTTTCATCATATTTCCCCATCACAACCCTCCTGCTGTTTTAATCCCATCACACATACATTTCACATGCATTACATTACCGCACGCTATAATTAATCCTGCATTCTTTCATAATGAGAATTCCCTTGTAGCGTATAGCGTATATAGTCGTTTCCTATGGTTCTCTGTCCTCCACTGAAGCATGCACACTCAGAGAACTGTGCCACTCCAGATTTTACCTGGAGGGCAGTGCCGGGCGGTCTCTACATTATCAGACGCAGCCTTACTCAATTATACGCAGATTGTGAGCGCAAATTGAATGAAAGCTGGGCGTGTTGGTGTGTGCGTATACTTCAGCCTGAGGGAGCGCTGCAGGGGTCAGAGGTCAGGCGGGTCAGAGGAGAGGGGAGGGGGGAGGTGGACCAAAGCGCAGGGGTCAAGTGAGTTCAATGAGGCAAATCCTGTTGACTAAAATATGAATAGCATTACTTCTACTACTACTACTACTACAACTACAATTAATTGCTATTGACAACTACTAGTACCATCAGTATATACTATAAGCATTTCAACATGGCTTAGTATGAAGGAAATGTAAAATATATAGTTGTAATAGTCAAAGTACTTACTACCTCTTCACAATTTTGATGTTATTTTAAAAAGGAAAAGGAAAGTACTTTTACTGCTCCACGTCTACACTCAGAAGCCATATTCATTCATTGCCAAAAAGAGTAGAGTGCTTTGCCCAAGGGCATAAGAAAAGACTAACTGTTTTTTTTTGTTTTTTTTATTTTGTTTTATTTCATTATGTTTTTTTTCATATATTTCATTATTTTAACTACTACAACTACTACATAACTACTACAACTACTACAGCTACTACATTTACTACAACTACTATGGTTACTACAGCTACTACAACTACTACAGCTACTACATTTACTACAACTACTATGGCTACTACAACTACTACAACTACTAGAGCTACTACAACTACTACAACAACAACAATTACTACTACTACAACTACTACAGTTACCACAATTACTACAACTACTACAGCTACTACAACTACTACAATTACTACATCTACTACAGCCACTACAACTACTACAACTACTATAGTTACTACAGATATTACAGCTACTACAACTACTACAACTACTACAATTACTACAACTACTACAACCACTACAACTACTACAACTACTATAGTTACTACAACTACTACAGCTGCTACAGCTACTGCAACTACTACAACTACTATAACTACTACAGCTACTACAGATATTACAGCTACTACAACTACTACAAGTACTACAGCTACTACAGTTACTACAACTACTACAGCTACTACAGTTACTATAGCTACTACTACTACTACTACTACTACTGCTACTACTGCTACTGCTACTGCTACTGATGCTACTATCACCACTGCTATACTGTTGCTACTACACAACTACTTCTTCTACCATCACTACCACTACTTCTTGTTCAGTTATACAAGTTTGCTCAGGTCCTTGTCTAAAAGTAAAGAGAGTATGCTGTTTGCTACTTATTTTTTTTACTACTACTACTGCTACTACTACTACTAGCTGGTCCTCCCGGTGTTCCTGCATGTGTCGAGCCTCGTCGACCACACAGTTGGCAGCATTAGACGTGAGCGCGCCTCTTGTACTGTGAATAGTGTCCATTATCCACATTTCTACAGAGCGCTGCCTTTAGACACAGCATTTATGAGACATTGTGGTGGTAATGTCAGACGCTCCTGTGGGAAGCATTAGCCTGACCTTTAATCTCTCTCTCTCTCCCCCCATCTCTCGTTTCTCTCTTCCCCTCTCTCCCTCTCTACTCCACTATCTGCTATCCTCCTCTCTTTTTCTCTCTCTTCTCCATATTTTCGACCTCCTACTTTTTGTCTAATCTGTCTCCTTCTCTTTCCTCTACTCTATCTGTCGCCTTCTCACTCCATCTCTCTCTCTTATGTCTCTCTTTTACTTTCTCTCTTCCTCTCTATGTTGTTCTACTTTCCTGTCTTTCTGTCTCTCTCTCAGCACCTTCTCTGTCCATGCTCTCTCTTTCTGCTTATCTCTTAGTCAGTCTTTTCTCTTATTCTCTCTACCTCACCCCCTACCCTCTTTCTCTCTCTCTCTTTCTCTTACTCCCTATCTCTCCTTTCTCTCTTCCCCTCTCCACCCTCTCTACACCACTGTCTCCTCTCTTTTTCTGTCTCTTCTCCATATTTTATCTCCTTCTCTTTCGTCCACTCTCTCTGTCTCTCTTTCTCCTTAAATCTTTCCGCTTTCTCACTCCATCTCTCTCTCTCTTATGTATCTCTTCCTCTCTGTGTTATTCTACTTTCCTCTCTCTCTGTCTCTCACTCTCTCCATTCTCTCTCTTTCTCCCTACCTGTGTGTTACTGTTTCTCTTATTCTCTCTACCTCACCCTCTGCCATCTCTCTCTCTCTCTCTTTTTTTCTCTAACTCTCTCTGTGTGTCTATTCCTCCAGTCTCATCCTCTCTTCTCTTTCTTTTTCTTCTCTCTCTCAGCCCCTCCTCTCTCTGTCTCTCTCCATGCTCTCTCTTTCTCCCTATCTCTTTGTCACTCTTTCTTACCACTCTTCTCTTATCCCCTGTCGCTCTCTTTCTCTGACTTTCTGTGTCTCTCTCCCTGCAGTCTCATTCTCTCTTCTCTCTCTTTCTCTCCCTCTCTCAGTCTCTCTCTCCATGCTCTCTCTTTCTCCCTATCTCTTTGTCGCTCTTTCTTACCACTCTTTCTCTTATTCTCTCTACCTCACCCACTACCCTCACTCTGTTGCTCTCTTTCTCTCTCTATCTTGCTGTGTCCCTCTCTCTCTCTCTGCAGTCTCATTCTCTCTTCTCTCTCTTCTCTCTCTTTCTCTCCCTCTTTCAGCCCCTCCTCTTTCTGTCTCTCACTCTCTCCGTGCTCTCTCTTTCTCCCTGTCTCTTTGTCGCTCTTTCTTACCACTCTTTCTCTTATTCTCTTTACCTCACCCTCTGCCCTCTCTCTCACTCTCTTTCTCTGACTCTCTGTGTGTGTCTCTCTCTCTGCAGTCTCATTCTCTCTTTTTCTCTCCCTCTTTCAGCCCCTCCTCTCTCTTTCTCCCTATCTCTTTGTCACTCTTACTTATGACTCTTTCTCTTATTCTCTTTACCTCACCCTCTAACCTCACTCTTTCGCTCTCTTTCTCTGTGTCTCTTTCCCTGCTGTCTCATTCTCTCTTTTCTCTCTCCCCCTCCCTCTCACCTACTCCCCCACTCTTTCTCTCCCCCTCTCTCTCCCTCATCTCCATTCATACCTTATTTCCACCTATTATCCGTCCAACCTTCCCTTGAACCTCACATTTTTGCTTCCTTTGCAGTCCACATAGATCCGGACACATGCAACCACACAGTTTTTTTGTTTTTTTTTCCTTTTCCCACACACATTGCCGAGAGTGCATAAAAAATCATCTAACACTATTAAGCCACCTTCATTCTTCTAAAAGGTGGTGTGTCAGGCTAACCACGGCTAGCGGGGCACAGCTAAATGGATTTGGGAGGGGAGATGGTGCACCTGCATGCTCGGTTCAGATTAATAATAGATTCTATCAGGGCTAAAAAGACGGAGGAAGATGGGGGTGTACGGGAGGGAGAGGGGAGTATGGAGGGGTGGGAGAGCACTTAAGCAGATGAGTGGGAGACGGGAGCCAGCAGACGCCATTGTGATGAACAGGACAGGAAGCAGGTTCACCCAAAAGAGGAGGTCACGAAATGGGGGCGGTGGTAAAATATGTAAAAAAAAAAAAAAAAAAAAAAGAAAGAAAAAAAAGAAACACACATTACAGTCACTCACAATGACATTTTTATAGTTATACTGAAAACTGAAAACATATTGCACTCATACATAAAAGACTGAAGATGTTTTGAGCCACAGGAGACAAAACTGGTGTCTCCCAACATCCAGAAGCCCACAAACCCTGAGGAAAGAAGTCTGGTCCAGGAACGTACACCCCTGGAGGACAGCAGTCTGGTCAGGGAGCTGCGTGAAAGAGTTAGAGCAGACAAGGGCCAAGCATGCAGATCAGGTCCAAAGAAGCTTTGTTTTGGACTGCAAACTTAAGACTGAGGAGAAGATGGAAAAAGAAAAGACCTTAGAGTTCACTGCTACTCCTCAAAAGAAAGACAAAGAACTCTGAGACCTGGTTATCTCACATATGGCGCTCCGGTACCTGTATGATTTTACAAAACAGGAAAATGTGCAACTAAAACAAGAGCTTGTCAAGGCGAATGAAAAAGACTTGAAGTTGCAAAAACTCAGTGCTACTCAGGAGAAGGATAAGAAGTTATTGCACATAAGGGGTTCCAGCACCTGTACAAGAAAATGTGCATCTAAACAAGAGCTTGCCAACTCTAATAAACTCATGCCAAAGACGAACGAAAAAGCCTAGAAAAGACCTGAAGTCACAAAAACTTACTGCTACTCTTCAGAGGAAGGACAAGCAACTACAAGACCAAGTTAACGCACATTATGAGATCTGGTAATAAGTGTGAAGTACTGGAAAATGTGCATCTAAAACATGAGCTTGTCAATTCCAAAAAAGTCACATCTGAAACACCAAACAAGACAAAAGAAAAAGACGTGGAGTTAAAGAGCTCAAAGCTACTCTCCTGAAGAAAGATAAAGTGAGACACAATGTCTAGCTCAAAGAAGAGTTAGCCAAGAAATGGAAATACTCAACGCACCTACAATAGACACTTGTATTGATGCTGGTGGAGATCTGACCAACAAACAAAATGAGAAACTGTCCAGGAGCTGTCTTCTGAACTCTCATGAAGTTTCGTCATGAGAGTGAAAGTGCACAGCGATCCAGCTGCCCAAAAGGAGAGGCCGTAGTGGAGGAGCAGAGGAGGAGGCCCGTTTGTCAACAGCGCTAAAGCACCTCCAAACCATTACCATTACAAAAGATATTTTAAATGTGTGCACTGGCCTTTATTTAGCACTTCTTCAGGTTTTATTGTTTTGTTTTTGTTTAATTCACATGCCAGACACACAGCATAATGTAGTGGCTTGTTTTTTTTATGCAGAAATGGGTAAAATGAGTGTACAAAAAAAATATATATAATACTTTTAGAGAGACAGAAGTATAGCTGGACATTATACATTATCTTAAACATATTGAAATTTCAAATATCCATTCAAGTTTCCTCTATGTGAGCCCGTGTAATAGTTTGGTGGTCGTATATAACATGTTATATAATACGCAGCCCCCGGCCAACACTGATTTTATAACTTCAGCCCCTGCTCCAGTTGAGTTTGAGAGCGCTGGTCTTCATGGACATTTTACTGCTTTGCCTGGAATTTTCAGTTCATTCAGCATGATGACAGTAGCTCAGTTGGTAGAGTCTTTGTCCGCTGATCCAAAGGTTGGCGGTTCAAACGTTGGTATCATTGGTTGAGCGATCAGATCGATTCCAGCTCCCACAGATGAATGCTGAGAGATTGCTGTTATTATGTCCTTGGGCAAGACACTTAACCCCCCTCTCCCCAAATGTGTCTGTGTACACACTTTTTTGTATGTAGGAGGGTCTCTTCTCACTCTCTTGTTACTCTTCCTGCTGTTCAGTTCAGATTTGATTCTCATTTTTTGGGGTCCATCCTCTAAAAATACCAGATTTCATGGATTATTTAATGTTTTGTTCTTCCCATTGGATCCACTTAAATCAGATGTCATGTCCAGAAGTTACTCTTTGTAATGAGTAGTAGTTTCTCCAAATACTTGAGTTTTTTTGGACCACTATTTCTATTTCTTGTACTTCAACTTCTATAATCTTATTTTGTTGTAGCAATACTTTTTCTTGAGTTCAATTTTTGGCTATACCCTCTGGCTCCCCGCACACAGACTTATGCCAGCCCTGATAAAACTCTCATTTGAGTACTTACTTGGACTACTACTTCATACTTCAACTTCTGTAATATTATTTTGAAACAACAATAGCCTATCTTGAGTGCAACTTTTTGGCTATACCCTCTGGCTCCACACACACTTACGCCAACGCTGATAAGATTCTCATTTGAGTACATTCTTGGACCACTACTTCATACTTCAACTTCTGTAATATTATTTTGAAGTAAAACAACACCCTCTCGAGTACAATTTGTAGCTACTTTACCCTCCGGTTCACCTCGGGTCTTATGCCACGACCAGATAAACCCATATGGCTACTCTCCTTGTTCTTTTATATTAGTTTAAAGCTCATCTTGTGTGTTATGATGGAGACATAAATTGGTTCAGACAAGCACACAGCAGATGAGCAGACGCAGAGCACAGACTGTCATTCTCTTCTGAACTAAACTCCACAAATGCCAAACTTACAAGGCGCCCGCTCGGAAGATAAAAAGCAACGCCTAATGCACAAATATTTCTCCGAGTTGTAGTCAGCTGCAAAGGGGATGATGTAATGTGTCTGCTCATTTAGGAATAAAGGCTTTCCATGCAATGCACACAGCCATGAGATCTGGGGTTGATTGAATTATTCTCCTGTGTTTGTATTGGAATCTTCAATGATCTAGAGGCACGCAGACCCCCACTAGAGCATTGGGCAGATGTTGCAATGGAAAATAAAGTATTGCCAAATTAAGTGATTGTCTCCTGGCTTAGTTTATCGAGCCACTAAAATCCACTATATCAGATTGTTTGTTAGTAATTTGGTCCACTATTGACCCCCTCGTTAAAGGTGACAATTTTGACCCTATTTTGCAATGGTAAAAAAAAAATAATTTGCACTATTTGTTGATCTAGACTTAAATTGTACGTCCACAACAAACAAACCAAAAATGTAACTTAGTTCTAATAGATCATCAAAAATCTCTGAACTTGCTAATAATAATAAATTAGGCAAAGTGGGAATAGTATCTTGCCCGATGACACAAATGGAAGTATGTATGGTTGCTAGGGAGAATCAAACCTTCGACTTGGTTACATGGCAAACATCCCTGTACCTTGAACCCTAACAGCCAAGAAAAACTGTAGCATTAGTCTTTTTTGTTTTGTTTTATATTGAAAAAGTGTTCAAAACAAATTGAAATTATCGATTTGAACATAATAAAAACAGTAGTTATTGTTTTGATGGTCCAGTATTACATATAATGTTCTCTTCTGAGCTTTAAGAAGAGAACATTTATGTTAAAATGTTGTTATCTCATCAAAACCATAACTAGATTTGTGTTTGAGTAACTCATCTCCAAAGAAATGTAGACTAATAATTCCACCTTGTGATGTCATGTAGCAGTAGTTTTCAATAATTCAAGTGAAAGTGTATGGAGTTTTCTGTGTGAGAGAAGAACTCAGAACAACTCCATGGATGTTTTTGATAAGGAAACAACTAGTGTCGTAATACTCTTGACCAGTCTTGAGTTCAAGATCGTTTTTTTGCGGATTTTGGTCTTGTCTCGGACTCGGCCTTTTTCTCGGTCTTGAAGGCGCTTGGACTCGGATCTTGTCTTGATCTTGAAGGCGCTTGGACTCAGATTTGTCTCGGTCTTGAGGTCTGAGACTCGACGATTGATAAAATGGAGCTAGATTTATAAAAACATTGATATACATCCATCAAAATAACTGTAAAATACAAATAAATGTTGAAAATTACAAAGATAGTCTCGATTTGGTCTCAATGGGCCTTGATCGCGGTCTTGTCTCGGTCTCAACCCTCAGAGGTCTTGGTCTTGTCCTGGACTCGGGATCTTGTGGTCTCGGACTAGTCTTGGTCTCGATTAGTGCGGTCTTGACTACAACACTAGAAATAACATTATAACATAGATCAGAAAATCGCGCATTATGAACAATTTAATAACGTTTCCATATTTCTCTTGCAGATCACAGCCGCTCTGGAACAAGACGAAACGGCGAGGAAGCAGCGCCTGGCCTACAAGGTCGACCAGCTCATCTCAGCCATGTCTCTGGAGAGCTGAGAGCGCCCCCCCCCCGCAGTCCAGCAGAAGCTCTTACATTATACCTCTTCATCGCGGTGCAGTACGAACTTAAAAACATGGAACTCACAAGCAGAAAGACTCCGACGACAACGCCTGCTTTTGCTCTTCCTATACGACGGTACCAGCTATTTTCCGAGCCTAGAGACTGGCCTAGCGCTTCACCTGCTGATCGCGGAAAGGAAGGAATGTCTCTCGACGCAACTTTTATTTATTTATTTGTTCCGATATTTTGGGGGGAAAACGGTGTGCGTGTGCGCGTGAGTGTGCATGAAGAAAACTCCTGACTACATATTTATTCTCTGCTTGGATCGCGAAAAGACGAGAAGCTGACAACGGCATTTCACAAAGGAGATTTTATTTTTCTACTTGGACATGAGTTGCAGCGTCTATAGACTGCTTAAAGAGTGACACAGGTTGCGTTACGTTTCATTTCTATCCAATAATCTGGCCGAAATCTCTCCATGGAAGTGTACAGGGAGATTTCTAAAAGTTGAGGAGGCGTGCTTGCACCTTAACTGTTGACATTGCGTTGGGTCCATTGGGTTCCTTCTGCTCATTCCCAGTCTGTATCCCTTCCAATGAGTCTCTATGTGAATGTACAAGTGTTTTTACTTGGTTTGTTTGTTTTGTTGTAGTTTTTTGGCCCAGTTGACCTGCGTGCCATAAGTATTCAAATCAATCAATGGTCAAATCGAAGACAGAAGGAAATGGTGGACAGTGCGATCGCTGGTTGGCCAATGAAAAATGTTTAGCTATGTGATCTTAAATTCATTAGCAACATATATGGTCATTTCAGTTGATGTGTCCATACATTTTCTGTTATGGAGACTATGGTGGCACAGGTAATATTTGTCTTTGCCTGTAATGTTCCACAATATGATGTCAAACTTGATCCATTTATTCAATTATGGATGTTTATATTGCTTAAAAATACCTTTAAAAATGTTAAATACCATCCTTTGGAACATTGCAGACAAAGCAACAATATCTCCATGGAGACAAGCAAGTGGTGGACCCTCAACCATGAAAGTTACATAACACACCTCTAACAACACATCGTTTTAGTTAACATATTGCTTATTTAATCTTAATGTATTTTAAAAGTGCAATCACATGATTTGTTTCGATCATGGACACTATTTTGAGGAATTTTACCAATATGTTAAATAGAACAGACCAGAGGTGGAGACTTGAGAGTTGTGACTTGGACTATAGTCAGACTTGAGTCACTATTTTTAGGACTTGAGACTTGACTTGATAAAAGACTTGGGACTCAACTTGGATTTGAAGGTCAGTGACTTGGGACTTGACTCGGTTGAGGCCTGTGACTTGAGAAGACTTAAAAATATATGTTGTTTTTTTAAATACTTTTCTCTTTACAGTTGATAAATGCAGTGATTAATTTTACAGGAACAAAATGGAACATGTCCCTCCCATTTTTCTATTTCTCTATTTGTTACTTTGGATGTAACTGAAGCACTGTGATACTCAAATGTACAACAGTAATATACAGTACAATACATACAATACAATACAGGGAACTACATAGAACATGATCCTTCCATTTCAGTGCAGACTAAACAACAAAATAACTTATTAAGCACTTTTAAATGTAAATTCTTTCTATTCTGACCGTAATGATTCACACAAAGATATTGAAAGGAAAGGAAAAATTGGCCTTTCTGCAACTCTTAAATAAATATACCATGACTTTTTAAGTACAATTTAGTTTAAAATATATCATATAAATTATGAAAATCGAAGCTTTATTTGGTACTTTGGTATAAAGACTTGAAATGACTTGAAGCTCAAAGCTTCCAAGATGACTTGGACTTGATTTGGACTTGACTTGGACTTCTTGCCAGTGACTCGAGACTCTACTTGGACTTTTATGTCTTTGACTTGGGACTTGAGGTCAAAGACTTGAGACTTACTTGAGAAAAAAGCGAAACAACGACTTGGTCTCACCTCTGGAACAGACTCATCATGAGTTTCAGTCACGAGAGTTTTGAAGGACTTTTGGCTATTTAAATGATCAAATATGTAGGCTTTTGATTGATTATCTTCATGACAACAACCCTAAGCTTTTTATCACTCTTGACATCAATGGATTATTAACTCATAAGATCATTTTATTAGGCTACAACACAAAAAGTATCATTTCTGCGCCACCACCAAAAGAAACTGTTTCAAATTTCTTACTCTATCTTGTACTATTGCAGTCTGTCCACCATTTTCTCTGTCCATGGTCCTACTTCCAGATCCTCGTTGTGTCTGCAGCGCTCGCACTTACCCAATCAGGACGCCTCATCTTATACATGTCCCTAATTGCATGCTATCACGTACTGCAAGTGTTGTAAGGGTCCATCTTTGATTTCTAAGTGCCAACGCGTGGAGCTCGGATCAGTCCTGATGATCTGAGGCTGACGACATTGCTTCGCGACTGCCGCAAACGTCTTCACAAACCCACACGACCCAGTGCCAAATCCCACGTTTTGTTTCCAGGTGTCCAATCACTTGACGGTAATCGGTTTATGCTTTATACAACAGATGTGGTTTGGAGTATTTAAAATGAAGGTACGAAACAAAATCATGGGACTAAATATGTATACTTTTGCACACATTTTAAAAGTCACTGCAAAGACTTGTTATATCTAGACTAACAATCTTACAGAAATTGGGATAATCCTAAATGTAGTCTCTAAAAATAATGTCAGACTTTAAGTTACTTCCCAATTTGCGTCAAAAACTCCCATGGACAAACTGCATCTAATATAGACTTATAATCAGGTATTCTATTTATGCAGTTTCTTTCTCACAACTAAACTTTGTGAAATTTGCTTTGCCAAATGTAGTAAACAACCACTGACAAATAAAAAACATATAATTGAGTTTATTAAGTCAAGCATGATTGACACAAATTGGGTAAGTGACGCAAATCAGGCAGTGACAAGACAAAGTGTTTACAGAAAACACCTCTCGAGAAACAGCAAAAGTCTTGAGCTAATTCATAATATCGTGCATGTGGTAAGATAATGAAGGTGTGTATTTTTGACAAATCACAAAATTGTGGAACTACCGCTTCAGAAATGTGTAATCTAAACCTTTTTAAACGTCTCAAAATCTCCCCACTTAAAACTGTAGACTGGATCCACTGGCCCGATGCGTTCTTCTCTTCTTCCGTTTGCTCGTTGTTTACATGGGGTACTTGAACGTAGCGTAGCCTGGCTTGTACAGTAGTGTTAATGCAGTGTGCGTGAGGCCATTTAAACAGCCGGAGTGGGGCAGAGGTGCTTCTTTTATTTGTGGCCTTAGATTTTCACTTTGCTATCGTTTATTATTTAAGTGTTTTGTCACCGTTTCTCCTTCTGTGCTCCAAAAACCACTGCTAGGAAAGTTGCACTGCAAACTGGGATATTAAAAAGGCTTCAATTCAGAATATTAACCCCGATTTCTGGAGTGTTCCACCTCACTGCATCACATTAAATTACTAATATGATACTAATTTGGCTGTATTCAATTACATGTGTTTTAATTGCCAAAATTCAGTACTTTGAAAAACATGCTCGTCTTCATGGATAGAAGTTTTAATGCCATTCTATGATTTTTTTTTTAAAGTAGACATGATTACATAATGCACCTTTAACTTATGGCATTACTTTATCTTATTCCAGTGATAGATAATCTTGGTTTTGAATATACAATAAAATCAAAGCCAACCAAAACTACCTAGAAACAAGTATTAAGACTGAAATTGAGAGGTGTCTCGGGGTTTTGTTCACGAGTGAGGGGAGGATGGAGCGTGAGATTGACAGGCGGATCGGTGCAGCGTTGGCAGTGATGCGGTCGCTGTATCGAACCGTTGTGGTGAAGAGTTTTACCGGTCAGTCTTCGTTCCTCCCCTCAGCTATGGCCATGAGCTTTGGGTAATAACCGAAAGGACGAGGTGGGTGGAAGGATGGATTGAGATGTGTCCACAAAGTAATTCATCTAAACACTAAATATTCTGAATTCAAGTTTTTCTATTATCTCAAATATATTCTGTTTTGCAGTGTGGAACTTCAGTACTTTTTGAACAGATGTGAAACCCTTTAGCAGGCACTTCCTGATCTGAGGTGGGGTTCATGTTCAAATCCAGCCAGTAGGGGGCAGCGTGACCATAATCCATATGTATTATTTTTCTCGTACCATGGGGAAAGCACCTTGTTGACCACTACCTAACGGTGCACATTCAGAGCACAGCTTCTTCCTTGTTTTGAGGTGTCTTCCCGATTTCAGCGAATAGAATTGTATCCTCCTCATACCTCACATTGCTTAAAGGAGTAATGCTTGTTATTGTTTGAAACCAGGACCTAAATGCCTTCTCCTCTTCCAAAGGGATCTATGTGTGTGTATCTGGCTCCTACTGTCATGAACTGGTCCAGGGTGGCGATCATGTTTGGTTGTTTTAGTTAATTTACAAAGAATTTCAAAAAAGTTGGTACAAATGCAATGTTTTCAACTGTATATTTCTGTGAAATTTGGTCATAAACTAAAAAAAATCTTATCTGTGGTTAATCTGAAGTTTAAAAAAGAAATCTAAGTTCATATCATTACAATCTTAAGTGCTTTTCGACAAATTGTACCAACTTTTTTGAGTTGAGTTGAGTTGATCTTTTTTTTTTTTTCAGGTCAAGGTGGCTATGATTTTTTTTAATTAATTGACAAACATTTTCAAAAACGTTGGGACAAATGCAGTGTTTTCCACAATATTTTTGTGAAAACTGAGGGGTAAAGGGGTAAAAAAAATAAATAAATCTATCTATCTCTGTTTAATCAGTTATTTACGGAAGCCCTGAGAGGCAAGAGAAAAAAAAAAAAAAAAAAAAGGCAGATTATTTGGACTCTATTTTCTAAGTGTTTTTTTTTTTTTTTTTTTTTTTTTTTGTTTCTTTTAGTTTTTTTAGGGTTAGGGTTTACGAAATTTGGGGGGGGGGGGG